ACTCAGTCTTTCCTTAGGAATTAAATGTTTTTAAGCCTTGCAATATCCACTGTTCTCATCATGTTGGTCCATCTTCAGAATTTCTACATGGTTACTACACAATGAAAACAAAAACAATTGTTTTGAAGTTAGGTAAAGGGAAAACATAAAATCTAACAAACTGTCTACAAAATTATTTTCTTACTCCAAAATAGAGCTAAGGGGAAAAAAAGGGACTCACTAAACTACATTATAATTTTTATATTATCCATCACTGAGGGCAGAAACAAATAAGGCCTTGAGATTTAGATACTAGACTCAACAGAAACCCTGAGCAAGCTCTGTTTTGTTTAAGTTAAAGCAAAATAACCCCAGTACAGGACTTCAGGATTACAGTTATGACTGTCCAGATTCAGAGATGGAAAAGTATCCCTGACCACCTCCTGAGTGAGATAAGCATCTACAGGTTTTATTCCATTCTGACATCACACTTTAAGAAAAATCATACTGAAAAACTGGAATGCCTGCAATGGAGAACAACCAGGATTACAAAGGATCTGGAAACCATGGTACAACAGATGAGGATAGAAACTGGGAGAAATCAACAAGGGGAAGTCTTGTTGGGGAAGGTGGGTAATAAAACTACCCTTCAATATTTTTTAAGAGTCAATATGCAAATGAAAACTTAGTTATTCTATATACCTCTAAAGGGTAAAAGAAATGGGATTTTCCAACAATAAAATCTACCCTGGAATGATTAATACTGCATGAAACACAGCCCAGTCAAATGGCAAGAGAGCTGTTACAGTTGGTACATTTCAAAGGGGAAGAAGAAAGTTAGTCGGTACCTTCCAACTGAGAAGAAGAAATCGCTCTCTTCCCCATTGTAAGTACAGGCAGGAGAAATTCCTTATCTCATCCAAGTCAGTATCAGTTCCCAAAAGGAGAATCATGAGTACACAGACTTCAGATGAGTAGTCATTTTTATATGAAATTGTAAAGCCATATGAATCACTTTATAAAACTATGCCTGTTAGTTTTTTTAGCTACTATACAAAAGGTTAGGACCTCCAAACAAAATTTATTCAGAATAATCTCAATATTTTTTCATGGTTTGGAACATATTGATGACTATTAATCTTGAAATTAATTAAAAGTACTTCTAAGATATACATTTCCTGTAAAATAGCAAGACTTCTATCTAACATTCTGTTCTCTTTTTGCTACATTTAGCTGTATTTTCCACTCCTGAATATAAGTAATAGAAAAAAGACAAATTCTTACTATGGGATCCACAAAAGAAATCCACAAAAGGGAACTAATCATTAATATTTTAATCCACAATACTCCGATATATAGAAAATGCCACAAAGATGGGATCTATTTCTGTTTTGTACTCTAAACATACAATAGACATTCAATGCTTGTTGGATAAAAAATAAGCTAGCTTTAGTAAAGTAGCCTTAAACTAACATTTCACTGGAGCAGCTCGTAACTAAAATGATAGTCATTTAGGAAAAAAAAATGTGTGTGGTAAGTCACAGATTTTCTGGCCCAAAAAATAGATGGGCTGAATGAACAGAACCCTCGATGAAGTTGATAAACCTCAAGGTCTCATACACCAGCTCTAAAGCTCAATGAGTCTAGTAATTATTTTATGACTATTTGGTAAATTAATAGCTTTTTCTTGATACTTAAATCATCACACCTTTTCCTAATACAACGATGAATAATTTTGTTGTTGCTGCTTCATCTGTTAGAACAGTGAAATACCCCTATACCAAAGAGACACACCAAATTTAGAACTTTAATTTCAGGGTTAAATAATCAGAATCCTGTTGATATGTGAAGAGAAAATCCTCTTAAACACAACAATCACGCAATTCCTTTTTTCAATTTAGAATCATAAAATCAAGAAATGAGAAGAAACATGAAGGTTTTATTTAACTTCCTACCAACCAACAATCCTTTCAACAGAATCCATAACAGGTATTTTCTGACATCTACCTGCATATTCTCAATCTTCTTATATTCCAATTACCTTTAAAAACTAAATATTTTCTGTATTTTTTGGTAGTTGCCAGAACATAACACACATAAGACTTAAAAAGATCTAGGTGGGTAGCAGCTAATGTTGAAAAATACTTGAGATGTTTCTTTTCAATTCTCACTATTAGTAAAATAATGCTCAATATCTCAGCTACTACACTAAAGATAAAAAGCACACCAAGATCACTTCCAAACTTGGGTTAAATTAATATAATAGTGCCAATTTAGAGAATTCCCTGACATATGAATGAAAAGAATCAATGTAAAGATGCACAAATTGTGTTTGACTCAATGCTGAACATACTGAAAGGAACAAACTCAACCCCCACGGACTCCCAAAAAGGTCCAGTCTGGGCACTCTTATCCCCAGCAGGCAATCTCTCCTTGATTAAATCCCCCAAAACAAGACATCTCTTAAGGTCCCTCTCACCTCTGTAATTCTTCCCATAGAATTTATCATTAATGAAACATGACATTTCTGCTAGGGATGTTACATGATATGAAATCACTTGTTTCTAGAGAGAATGAAAAAGTCTACAACTAATTAGAAAAAAAGTTCAGGGTAATTTCATAAGACACTGAAATTTTATTCTTGAAAGCATGTTAAAAAGCATAACAGACCGGGCCTAACCGGTGGCGCAGTGGTTGAGCGCTGGGTTGCGAAGCTGCCTGCAGCCTCTGCAGCACCGGTTCAATCCCCGGTCGCAGGCGAGGGTCCCACATGGCGCGCAGACCTCGCCTGCCGTCTGCTGCTCCCCTCAGCAGTGTACTTCAGTCCTTCTGCCTGTTCTGCTCCCTGCTCTGGCTCTGGTGAATACTCTCACCCTCCCGCGCTTCTGACTGTACCCAGTGCTTGTATAAATAAATTGGCGCGCAACCTTTAAAAAAACCCAGTTTAAAAAAAAAAAAAAAAAGCATAACAGACCCACAATGGAGTCCCTTATGCTAAGCCCCCATTACCAGATCAAGACTTAAGAGTTTCAATTCTCCCAGGAATGGAATCTTAAGCCAATCAGGTATGGCCTAAGCACTAGTCAGTTAATTTGCCTGACAGACTCTGGCCATTCCCTAGAGGATAAGTAACTTGCAAACCACCCTGCTTATTTATTTATTTATTTGTTTGTTTATTTATTTTTGCCTAGTCTAACTTCCCTTGTTTTTGCTCCCCTCTGGCTCTAAGTCTTTCAGGTTATACAGCTCCTCAGAGCTCCTTTCTGTCTGCCAGACTGAATACTGTCTGATTTGAATTGATTTTTGTTCAAACAAACTTAAAATTTTAATACACTTCAGTTTATCCAACACATCTAATTATAAAATTTTGTTTTCTCCAAATAAGAGTTAAACCCTTTGATGTATATTGTGTATTTATTAGAGAAATAATGCCATTCATAATGATTTAAACATTATTTCCAAGGCCGCGCTAATTTGGAACTTCATAAAACCTAAAATCCACAAGCAAAAAAAGCATCTTCAGTTATCATCACTCATCAAGCAGGCCAATATTACTCACATAAGCCACTTCTTAGTTCACTAAACCAATGCTCATCATAAATTTAAAGAAAGGAGTCCTTCACTCTGACACCTACAAGCTTTCAGTGAAAGACTAATTTTTTAGCTTTGCAATGGAATCGTAACACCAACGGTCCCTCTCACCATCCTCATATCCTATCTCTCCTCTCATCCCCCAACAAAAAAAAGCCAATTTTTAAGAAAATCAATTTAAGCCCAGTCCATATTAGTAGCTAAAAACCTCTGCTCTTTTAAGAGGAAAACAAGATAGTTGGCAAAAAAAAAAATCTGTCCATCTTTTGTGGGAAAAAAAAAAATGCAAGCAAATATGGCACATCAAACCCAGATCCATTTTGATGAATTCCCTCCAGGACCCAAATGTGTGCATTATGCAACAGCCACCATTCCAGATTTTAATCCCCGTCTGTGATAAAATACAAATGATGAGCATAATCCACTAAGTAGAATTCGTATATTTACAAGGAGACAAATTAAAAACCAGAATACCAAATTTTCAGGAACCTTGAAAATGACAAACTGTGTGACAGTTTTGTGAGAATCACAATTAAAACTTTTCTTTAGGTAGTCTTTTAGCAACCTGCCCCTCCTACCCCAGTCCCTCAAAGATACAATGAGCATTTAAATTGGGATTTTGAAAGGATCTCCCAAAGAGGGAAGGGGGTCTGCATCAGGTGGTTATCTCAGCATCTACTCCTGATGAGAGAGCACACCACTTTCCAGAAGCTGAGCAGCCAGTGAGATCAATGCTCCGTCATTTCTCCCAAAGGACAATAATGGGGCTAAGTGTAATCCAAATCCCTGAGCCATACACAATCCAAGGTCTCACCCATGCATTTCCTGGGGCACAGGCCTCGGAAAGCTGCAAAATGGACAGCCACGAATTAGAACAAAATTGCAATAACCTGCATTCTAGAAGAGAATCCACACAATTCCCATTCCAAAAGTAGTGAAAGGTAAGGAGGCGGTCAGAGCATCTCCGGAGGCCACCTGCGTGGCTGGCCCCGAATCTAAACGCTGAAGTTCTCCGCCCCGGCAGCTCCGCTTTCCGCCGCACCACGGCAGCCGGGCGGCGGGGAGGCTCCAGGTGGGGAGGCCGGGCGGGGAGGGGGCTCAGCCGGCAGCTGCGACGGCGCCCGCGGCGAGCGAAGCAAGAAGGCGCATTCCCTTACACAAAATGGTGGCGCTGACGCCGAGGCCGGCGCACCTGGGGCCGCGCTACACGCCCCTCGGGGTCCCGGGGCCGCCGGCGGCGGCCGGACGCGCGCCCCGGGCCCTGGCGGCCGGCGTGGGCCTGCGCCGAGGCCGAGGCCGCCGGGCGAACGGCAGCGGCAGCCCGCGGAACCGGGCACGAGAGCGCGGGGCCGCCGCCGACGGGACGCCGGACTGGGCGAGGCCCCCGCAGCCCGACCCGCAGACCCGCCCGGCGCGAGCCGCGCACTCACCTCGGACGCGCCCCGCGAGCCGCCGGGGCCGGGAAGGAGGCGGAGCCGCGGAATGAATGGAGCCGGCGGCGGCTCTAGGGCGACCCCCGGCCGGTCCCGGGCCGCGAGGCTCGGCGCTCTCGGGGTGGGTGCGGCCGCCTCCCCTCGCCCCGGGCGCCCGGCTCCTCGTCGGCGGGTCGGCCGCAGCCCACCGTGCCCTCTGCCGGCGTGACGCACTCGCGCCGCAGCGCCTCCAGCCCTCGCCGCGCGCCGCGCCCGCGCCCACCGCGAATCCCCCCGCCCGCGCGGCCCTCCTCGGCGCCGGCGCCGCCCTGCCTCCCTCCGGGCCCGCCGACCGGCCGCCGCCGGCCAGGTGCGAGCTCGGCCTGCCGCGGGGCGCCCCTCGGGCCCCGCCTCGCCGCCGGCGCCCCCCCTTCTCCGCCCCGGCCGCGGGTACCCGGCTGAGCGCGTGCTGCCCCCCAGCTCGGGGCTGTGGCCCGGTATTAGAGTGACCTTGGCTTAGATATGAAAATAGGGGCGGGTGAGCTGCGCGGACTACGACGCTCAGTGGGGCTATTCCTTTAATGTCGGCATTCGCAGAATCCCGGCTGCACACCCCTGACGGAATCCTCCAGCCCTGGGCGGGCGCTCCGGGAATGTGCCCCCCGGAGGCCGCGGGACAGGGCTGCTCTGCGCCCTGAGGACCCAGGGCCTCCGCCCTGCCACCTCCCTCCTAAACCTCTGCCACCTAGGGGGTGGATGCAAGGGAAGAGGGGAGGCGAGCTCTCCTTTCACACACTGGACAAGCTCCAGAGCTGGAACTTCTTCCATCTTGAGATAATAAGGAATCACTAAATTCCTGCGTTGACCTTTTCTCTTTCAGAATCTAGCACACGCAAAGGAACAAACCCTGACCCCGAAGGAAGATGGGCTCCACCCTCCCTTCCTCTCCTTCCTCTTCCAACTCACTTCATCCGCCTGAGCGCCCCGGGATCCTGTTGCTAATTTCACTCCCAAGAAAGAAAGATAAACTCAAGTATTTAAAGCGTGGTAATTTTCTTGCGAATAATGTAACCATGGCTTAAATATTTTTAATAAATGCACTGAGGAAAAGTATTTAAGGACTTTTAAGACTTTATAAACAAGAGCTGTGACACTGTTTTCAGCTCATCCAGTAAATATGAAATTGCTTGTTTATTTCCTCAGAAATACTTAGCAATCACGATACCAACGTTTCGCGAATCTATTATGACCAGAGAGAGCAATAAATATTTCAAAGAACACTTGTTGAAATACATTTGACTTCTTTTTTAAAATCAAATAGCCTTTTCTGACTCCAAATCCTCATAAGAATTAACCTCACATCTGTTATTCTTAATTTGTAATATTTAGTTAGCATTACTCTTAAATGTTATACATCAAAAATTTGCCAGTTTTATGGTCCAACCACTATGGAAAGCTGTTAGGTGGCCCATCAAACTACTAAAAATGAGCTACCATATGACGCAGCAATTCCACTCCTACTAATCTACCCAAAAGACACAAAAACATTAATTCGAAAGTATAACTGCTCCCCTATATTTATTGCAGCACTATTTACAATAGGTAAGATATGGAAACAACCCAAATGCCCAAAAATGGAGGATTAGATCAAGAAGATGTGCTACATATACGCAATGGAATACTAATCAGGAATCAAAAAAGATAAATTCACGCCATTTGCAGCAACATGGATGGAGCTAGAAATGATTATGTTCAGTGAAATAAGCCACAAGGAAAAAGAAAAATATTGGATGGTTTCACTTAGGAGGAAGATAGGGGAACCAAATAAGGGATCAGGAAAAGAATAATAAATTTTAAAAAAATTAGCAGGCAACTATAAATAAGAGACATTCTGCAAGGGAGGGAGAGGGATCAAAACATGGGAGAGAAGAGCACAGGGACTATGGTGATGGTTCACGTGTGAATTGGTGGTAGGAATTTTATGGGGAACACAATGAAAAGAAAGCATACAAGCATGCATTGCACAAAAATGAACAATGATGTAAAATATATATATACATAAATTTTAAAAAATTACCAGTTTTAGTGGGGCTTAACAATGAAACCGATTTAATTAATAGAACAGGTATTTTGAATAGTTGGGTTCTAGCTGCAGCTAATCATGAATGAATGAATGAAATTATATAACTTGAATCTATATATTTCCAGTTGTATGTAAGTGGGAGTCCCAGAGTAATCCTAAATGGCCACTTTGGGGAAGATACTCTCTTTTTATTACCAGACCCTGCTAGTATTGAAACTTCTGGGCTTAGTGTAAAATTAGCCAGTGCAACTTGTTTATAACTGAAATACATGAGTGTGGTTGACTTTCAGCTATTTTTTTTTAGTAAGGGGTACTTAGGACTGGGTGCCCTGTCTCCCACATGTCTAGCTGTCTCTGGTAGGAGTCAGAACTATTCCCAACCAACTCTATAAGAGAGGCTCCAAAGACAACCACCTAGGCCACTAAACCCAACTTTTCCTGTGGCAAGGACCCCCGTCTGCTAAGAATTACCGAAGAAATGTTTCCTACCTACATGAGGATTGTCCCTGGGGGACACTCTGGCTTGATTCTCATTTCTCTACTTGCAATGTGATGCAGCTTTGAGTGTTTAAAAATAATCACCATTTACTTCCCTCTTTTGCTGAGATATATTAAATTTTGCAGTTCATTTACTCATACTGTAACAGGGTAGTCCCCAGGAAAGGGGGAGATTCCAGGTTTCCTGCTCCACCCAGGAGGAGGATGGAGCTGAGCAGGGAAAGAGGAAGCTGCAGAGGAGACTGAGGAAGGAAGGAAGCAGGATGAAGAGCCAGAAGGAGACCTGGAGGAGGCACATGGAGCAGGGAGACACATGAAGAAACAGCGTTTGCCTTTTGGTCGTGGACTGGGTGACACAGATGTGGGTGAGAGACACGTGGGGAGGTGACAATGGCGGTTTTTGTCTTGATTTTGGTTTTGCTCTTTTCCCTCCAGACTTGTTTGGTTGTTTCTGATCCTTTTCTGTGAGTCCCCACTGGAAGATGCTTTAGACTTGTGGTGGGCTTTGGGGCCTTGTTCTGGGCCAATCCTGCTTAGGTGGACTTTTACCCATGAGGGGATGGGTAACTTTGGGTGTTTTATTTAGAAACTATACTCTTTGCCTTTCCTGTATTGTTTACTAATTGTATTAAAGTTCCTTTTCATTCAAGTCTCATATGTTTTGTGTTGATGCAGCAGATGGCAGAACCTATTTAAAGCAGGCAGATTTGTGGGGTTTGGGGTACCCCTCTACCTGCCCTGTAATAATACTATGAGCATCCATGAGCTCTTACTGGGAAAGAACTAAAAAATGAGTCTATCATATTGATACATGCTGTAAATCACTACCAAAATATGTTGAAATATGCTTTGAAGCTTTTGTCTGAAAAGTTTTGTAGAAAGTAAAAGAATTACTGCTTTGGATTTGTTGTTGCATATATTTGCTTTAATTATTATTTTCAGTTATAAACAGAAGGAAAGATGTTAAGAGTCCTTATTGCATTTTAAATATATATTTAAAGCAGAGCGGAACCATTTTAAGAGACACTTACCATGACACAGGATTTTGGAGGTTGCTGATAAAAATGACCCCAAAAAGAGTCCTAAATTGCACTGGAAAAGAGGAATTTGTAAAGGCTAAAATAATGGCTGCTAACAAATTACCAGATACCCTACCAACTTCTTTGTAGAAATTAACTTGTTTACTCTGCATAACCATCCTTTGAGATCCATATATACTAATGTTGGCTGGAATTTACCTAAGAGGAGATTAAGGCACAGAGTCCAGCTAAGTAATATGCCCCTGTCACACAGCTAATAATCCTGGTAGTTTGACTACAGAACATACTCTTTTAATCAGTATTTTATACCATCTTTTACATGCACAAAATCCTAGGGCATATGATTGGATTTTGCTTTTGAAACCCTAAATGATTTCTTAGATCTTTGAGTATTTTCCTGGACTCAAAGAGAGGATTAAACTCTTAATTAGAAAACTTGTAAGACGTCATCAGATATAAAATAAGCAAAATTGTTATAAACTGTTCCGTTTTTGACAAGCACATTCTTCTTTTCACATCTTTTAAGGGTAAGTGCTCTCCCAAGTTTTTTTTCAAGTTTCCTAGCACAATTACAAGTTTTATTTATATAATTTAGTGAATGGGAGAAACACATTTGCACAGAAAGGATTCATCACCATCTTTGACCCTCCTTAAGCTAGAATCAGGATCCCTGCATATCTTTTAAATTTATGAAATCACAGTGAAGTTTTAGATCCAGATACTTCTAGATCTAAAACATTAGCCAATTAGCTACCTGGTTGGCTAAGAACATCAGATGTGCAAAGGGGGAAAGGAGAAGGTAATCCTTCCTACTGGCACATGGGACTCTGTTTTAGATACTTTATTTCTCCCACTGGTGTAACAAATATGTCACAGGAATGGTGTCAGGATGAAAAGCAGTATTTTGATGTGCTTTTATTTGTCAAATGCCACTACTATCTGCAGATTTCAAATTCTTGAGTCATAAAATGTACTGAAGGGAAAAACAAAAAACCTGATGAACAAGAGAGTAACAGGTTTGAGAATTGCAGCTACACTTGTTTCTTCTGGTTTAGTTTGACATATGTGAGGTGGAAGTTTAAGGACAGAGTATTTGTTAGTTTAGTTTGGGTTTAAGAAAAATAACATGGTGTCTTTCATATTAGTAATAAAAAATTACTTACCTACTTGTTAGATTCATGGCTGATACTACAAGTTGCCCAGTCAATATCCATTCTCCCCTTTTCTCTAACAGATACAATATTGTTCAAGGTGGCAATGTACCATTTTCCTCCCCAGGCTACTCTTGCAACTGGAAAAGCCATGTGATCATTTTGCAATGAGATGTAAGAAGATAAGTTTTTGTTTTGTTATGATAAGAAAGAACAGACTCAGCTGGCATATATACCTTTGCCTTTTGCCATTTGTACTTCTTTCTACTTCCTACCTGGAAGGAGAACTGAAGTCTGAGCAAGCACCCATCTTGTAACCATGAGATGAC